TGTATTCCAATGTCTGGACACCAAATCCCAGAGAGGTTCTTTCTCTGCTGCTCACCACTCCACCATCTTCCCAGAAGTTGATATTTTTATGATGTGGGAATTAAGAAAAACATCATGGAGTAGAAAAAATATCCCACCCATATAGCTGAAAGAGCGCTTATCCAGAATCTGGTTTTCTGAGAGGTCTGGCATCCCCTTACCCACCACTGGGGAGCAAGTCTGGAAGATTGGTGACCTTGCTGGGTCACAAGACGAGAGTTCCAGAGTCGGTGAGAGCTACAGTCACTGGGTTACAGGTGACTATTTTTTTTCTTTCTTCTTCTTTTCAACTTATGAGACAGGGACTTGCTGTGCAGTTTAGACTGACCTTGAACTCACTATATAGCCCAGGCTAGCCTCAAACTTGCAGCAATCGTCCTGCCTCAGCCTCTTAAGTGCTGGGATGACAGGCATGTGAGCTCAGGTTAGGCAATTTTTTTCAAAGCTTAGTTTATAGATTGGGCAGAGTGAGAACTTAGCAACAATAACTCTCTAATATAACCGTTATTTCAATATAGTGTAATAAAAATAATATGAATTTGTTTATCCTCCCAAAATGTTTTATTTACTGTGTTGTCCTTAGCCTTCTTCTTCCTGTGGTCATGGACATGATACAGTGCCTACATGATACTGGTTTTTTTGGGGGGGGGGTTGTACCAGGGACCGAACTTAGGACCTTGCACTTGCCAGGCAGGCATGGAGCCACTGAGCTACATTCCCAGCCCAGGTGCCTATGTGATGAGATGACATGAAGTGACATTGTGTCAGGCTTCCAGTGAGCCTCCAGAATATGTCAGAAAGAGGACCATCACTTCTGGGGGTCCGGTGATCCTGGCTCATCCCACGGGGCAGTGGGGCTGGGGAGCATGTGTGGCGTCGATTCACTGGGTGAAGAGAAAGCTCACACTCTGGGTGTGCTGGCTGGAGATTTTGTCAGGCTCCCCAGAATGGCACTCAATTTAGAACTTACAATTTCTTTACTTTTGAAATTTTCTATTTAACATGTTTTAACATGATTGACACAGGTAAGTGAAATCACAGAAAGCAAAACCACAAGTAAGGCGGAACAACTGTATTACATGGATATAAAACCTTTATTTCAAAATAATTATAGATTCACAGAAAATTGAAAAAAATACTTATGCAGAGATCCTAAGTGGCCTTCACCCAGCCTCCCCAAGTGGTAGCATCTTACATGGCTGTGGTGCAGTGTCACAGCCGTGGACTTCACTGGCACAATCCACAAGGCCTATACAGGCTTAATATGTTGCATGTACTCCTGTGTGTGTGTGTGTGTCTGTGTGTCTGTGTGTCTGTGTGTGTGTCTGTGTCTGTGTCCCTGTGCCAAAGCATGGGCAGAGATACAGGGGCAGGGTCGGGGTGCACTCGGGGATAGAATACTTGCTTAGCATGTGGGCTGTGGGTTCTAAAAGCCCACAGGATGGTGTGAAGCCCTTTCTCAGCTCTCTGCCACAACCTTCTGGAGCTTGGGGCTGCTTATTGAGCCTCTCCTATAGAGACTTCTTTCAGGGTCCTCTTGGGATTGCTTCTCTAATACAGTGGTACCTCACTTCACAAATGCTTCCGTTAGCAAAGAATTTGCTTTGCAAACAGAAGCATTTGGCAAAATTTTCTTTTTGTTTGTGAACTCTGCATTGGGTGACAATCACAACCCTGACCGTGGCCATCTTTTCCAGAAGTGAGGGCCAAATTAACTTTGTGAACTGAGACACCGCAGTCCTAGCTCTCTCTCTCTCTTTATCTTACTCGAGTCTGATAATATTATGATAATTTGGGCCTCAGTTTATTTCCCTATCTAAATCACATGTAACCTATGGTAACCTAAATCACATGTAACTGACTTGTCACTGAAGCTTTCATTTGCCAGGAAACTTGCACCCTTTTGTGGGATGAGTGAGCACAAATACAGGGGAGCTGGGGACGGAGGAAGAGGCTAGGGAGGGGCGAGGGCGCTGTACACAGTGGGGTCCTACCTGCAGGGTGAGGGGGCAGCCTGTCTCCTGATCTTGTCCCCAAACCACACTCACTCATGAAGCCTGCAGGGGGCTGCTGTTTGTTTAGACCCCTCATCCTGCCCTGGCTTAGTTTAGTTATTATAAGTAGGCAGCCAGAGAAGCCTAAGATGAGGTTGAATGGAAGAGTTAAGCAAGGAGCCAGTTAAGCTTAGAAATGTAAAAAAGTAAAATAGCCCAAGCAGCTAAGCCAAACTTAGAGATGGAAAGGTAAACACAGAAACAAAGGGTAAAAGGTTGGGATGAGAACAGATACAGACTCTTCCCTCCAGGACAACGTCTTTATCCAGAATATGCTGTTAGACTTCAGTGGTGCCTTCCTACCTCTGGGCCTGGAGAGAACGGATCCACCAAATGAACAGTTTTCTTTTTGAGTTTTTTGAATTCCAGCCCCTTTCTGCACTCTGCTTATGCGTATAAGATCAGAACAGAGACCCTTGATCGGAATTTTACTTGTAATAAACCCCTGCTTGAGGTTTCTCTTTTATTATTTCCAATAAACCTCTCATAACCTGCTCCTTTGGTTCTCGACTTCACTCCTTGTTGTAGGCAGCACCACAGGCTTGGTTCCTATGGTAATGGCCCTACCTCCAGCATCATCCTCTGTGTCTGCCTGAAGCCTCCACCCAGAGCACCTGCCTGTCTCCCAGCTGCAGGGTGTGGCTCTGGGTCTTGCTCTGTCCCCAGCCCTTTTGGCAATGGCACCAGCTCCATGCCTAGAGCCCTCCCAGTGCTTTCTCTTTCACACTCAGGCTTTCTTTTTTATTTATTTATTTATTTTTAATTTTTTTGGTTCCGGGGATCGAACTCAGGTCCTTGTGCTTGCAAGGCAAGTGGCGGAATCACTGGGCTAAATCCCTGGGCCCCCAGGCTTTCTTTTTGTTCCCCAATATAGGATCGAACCCAGGGCCTTGCTGCATTCCCCAGGCCTTTTCAATTTTTTATTTTGAGACAACAGGGTCTTGCTAGGTTGCTAAGCTGCCCAGGCTGGGCTTCCACTTGTGATCTTCCTGCCTCAGCCTTCCAGAATGCTGGGATCATAGGCCTATGATACCAGGCTCCTGCAAACCCAAGTTTTGGATCTTGAAACTCACAACATCTTCTCTGCTTTTCTGCTGAATCAGGTGTCTCCATGGTAAGAACAGCTGCCACTGGGAAAGAGCAAAGGAAGTAGAAAAAGCCTTTCAGCAGTGTCACCACTGGCCACCCAGCACTCAGAGCAGAGGGACAGCACTGACTCCAGGCAGCCCGGGATCACATCTGGACCCCAGCACTGATAGTCGAGTGCTCTTGGCCAAATCACAGCCTTGTGTGCCACAGTTTCTTCATCTGTAACGTGGGGGAGATCTGCTCCCTCCCTCTCAGGGTTAGGAGGATGATAAAATGTGTCTGTACTTGTTAAGTGGTTAGATTATTGCCTGGCTGGTAGTCAGTACTGTAGGAATGTTGGCTGTTATTGTTGTTGTCTTTTTTTTTTTTTCTGTAACCCACTTCCAGCAAGGCAGCTTCCTGGGCTTGAACTCAGGAATCCTTTCAAGTTTCTTTGTCCTGAGATATACCCCCAGCCCTTTCATTAACTTTTTATTTTGAGACAGGGTCCTGCTAGGTTGCCCAGGTTGGGCTCAAACTTGCAATCCTCCTATCTCAGCTTCCCAGAGTGTCAGAGTTAGGGGCCTGTGCTACCTTACCTCATTGTTATTCACATATATAAGAGAAGAGTGGGTTTCGTTGGAATGGGAGTCACCCAGAGCCCTTGTGCTTGCTGAGGTGATTTCCATGCAGTTGCTAACAGGCAGGGGTCAGGGCAGCCAAGTGGCCTCTGGTCCAGCTTCTCAGATGCTTATCAATCTTCAAAGGAACTGAAAGTCCACAGCATCCCCATGGATGCAGCATCCCCATGTCCTCTCTGCAGCTGCCCTTCTGGCTCTGTGTGCACTGCCTGGCCTGCAGCCTCCCCGAGCCTACCAGTGCCTGTGTGGGTGCAGGCAGGCACTGAAAATCACTGGCATTCTTCCCAATGGTAGAGACTTCACAGTTAGGCATCTGTGCCACTCCCTGCAATTCCAGGGAAATTGCTGGAACTGCTGAATTCTGATTGTCTACAGTAGTCTCCAGGGGCCTCACCAGGGAGGAGCATGTGACCCACTTCTGCCAAGGGTGAGACCAAAGGAAACTTAATGGGAGTGGTGGGAAAGGTTTCATCCTCGATGAAAGAGACCTACAGGAAAGGAGAGTGCAGGGCACCAGCCTGCAGGATAAGGCAGGGGTGAGCAGCTCAGGGCAGCCCACCAGTCATGAACTCCTTGTGTGTCCTTGTCAAGGAGGCTGCACTTGGTGTTGGGGACAATGGAAGGCAGGGCTCAGATCTGGGCTGCACATTTCACAGAGTGCAGAATGGATGAACTGCCATGATCGTGAGGCTTGGGGGCTTGGGAGTTTCCACACACCAGGACACAAAAGAAGATCTGGGGACAGATCTGGGGACATTGGTTCTCTGTGCTCAGAGTCGCAGGTACCTGTATTCCCATCCCCCCACAAGCTTCCTTCTGGGCTGTCTGGAGTCTCTACACTGGCCCAATGCATTGAGATCTCAGCCAGGGACATAGTTCTGGAATTAAGTTTTCAGAAAATGGGACAAAATCTCTTTCCTTTAAACTAATGGTCCCACTACCAATTTTGGTTTGTAATCATGTGACCACATCTGCCACCTGCCTCGCCAGCACAAGGTCCCAAGTTAGATCCCTGGTACCAAAAAATCATGTGAGCACAATTTCTCTGCCAGAAGACCTGATTTGGCCTTTGGGATCAGGTTGGGTTAATCAGTCACCCGTGAAACCTGCACACAAGACACCCCCTCCCTGCATGTCACGTGAGCCCTTCAGCCAGGGCCAGATTGCAGGCAGGCTCCTGTGATTTGCTGCTGACTTTAGCAAGAGCCACAAAGCCCAGACATCTTTGCTCAGCTCCTCATCTTTTAATCTGAGTCCACATGGAGCCCACATGCAGAGTAAGTGGGAAGGAGGGGGGACTTGCAGGGGAAAGAAGTGAACGGCAGAGAAGACGGCAATCAAGGGACACCACAGGGTAGAGGGCAAGAGGGGTGTGCACCACCTGGGTCAGGTGTTCCTGGCCAATTTAAAATAATTTATCAATTAATCTAATACACTTTTATTGAAAACTAAAATTATTTTCCACTCCCCCACACACATGCATAAACACAAGACAGTTTCTCAGTGTAACCACTGGTAGGTTTGGTTCTTCCCATATGCTTTCTATGCAGAATCAAATTTACATGAATCTATATCTTTTTAAAAAGTCATTTAGGACCGGGGATTTAGCTCAGTGGTTCTGCCACCTGCCTCAAAACTCAAGGTCCCAAGTCGATCCCCGGTACCAAAAAAAAAAAAAAGTCATTTAGGTAACACCGTGTTTCATCTCTTGGTTTTCTCAGTTAATGATATATCTTGTGATGTAGGGTAGAGGAGAAAAAGATAAAAAGGAGACAAGGAAAATCATAATTTAAAAGTTGTGCTTTTAAGAAAAACTGCAGCTTCAATACACAGTTACCCAAGATTCAATGCCTTTATCCCTTCCAAGAAACTCATTCCAAAGTGGGTAAAATCCCTAAGCCTGTAAGACGAGCAGGTGCTTTTCATCTGTAAATCCAACCTGTGCTTCTTCTCCCACAGACCTGGATCTGAGGAAACAGCACCAGGAAGCGACAAATTGAGCTCTGGACTTGAGACACCTGCAGACGGTTAGCACTCTATATTCGCCCACCAGGACAGGTGCCAGGAATGCACACCCTAGATGTCTCGCGGACACCCTAAGACCACCTAAACCCCCGACCTCATACTTCTTTAATTTTGCCGAATAAATCTTTTTATTCCTTTTGTTGATGCAGCTTGAAAATTCTTTTTCTGTCATAGGAGTCAGGGAACCCTCAACCTACCCTGCAGGTGGGGTGAATTGAGGCCCCCATCTCCGCGGTGGGGGCTTCCTCGACCCTGCTCGGTGATGGGTCTGTGCTCCTTCTTTCTCAAGACTGTGTAGCATTACAGCCGAAGTCCACATTGCCATGTATCAAGCAGATCCTTAGTGATGGGCACTGAGGTGAGTGAACTTTTCCACCATTACAAATGGTGAAAGTCCTTGAATATACATTTCTAGCACACTTGGGAGCTGATCATTGATGATATATTCCAGGAAGTAACCTCCTGTCCTCATTTTCACTGTTGAGCCTAGATAATCAGTAGCCTGGCAGCCTGGGACCTAGTTGATGACCAGGGAGAGTCGCATATTTTAAAATAGTTATTTGTTCAAGACTAGGCATGGTGGTGCATGCCTATCATCCCAGCACTCTGTGAGGCCGAGGCAGGAGGATCCAAGTTTGAGCCCAGCCTGGGCAATTTAGCAATTTAGTGAGACCCTGCCTCAAAATAAAAAATAAAAAGGTTTGGGGTTGTAGCTCAGTATGAAAGCCTTGGGTTCAATCCCCAGTACTGTACAACACATTTTTAATAATAGTTACCTGCTCACTCAGTTAGAATAGATAAAAACGCATGCCAGAACAGAATCCTCTCCTCTTAGGACCCATTTTCAGAACTGGACAAGCTACTACCCTAAGTGACTGGAGTTCAGACACCACTGGGTCACGGACCTGGCACTTTGTCACATGCTGCTTCACCAGGTCCTCATATCAATCCTACAAAGCGGGTATTATTAGCACCGCTGTTTTTCTAGATGGGAAAACTGAGGCTCAAAGAAGATAAGACATCTTAACAAGGTCACAGCTCACAGATGGTGGAAGATCCAGAATCCAAAGATAGCTCTGGTGCAGTCTGGTTTCTTTCTAAATCCTGATGCAGGCTGAATCCTGGTGCTTCTTGAGAGCTTCAGACTGGACAGCCAGCGAGCCAGTCAGCCAGTTGCAGGATGAATTTGTTTCCTATGGTGACCGTGACAAATTACCACAGAGCTTACAGTGCAGAACACAGATCTATTTATCTTAACAGTTCTGGAGGGCAGAAGCCAAGTTGGGTCTTCCTAGGCTAAACCAAGGTGTGGACAGGGCTTGCCCCTCTGGGTACTCCAGCTCCCCAGGAGTCCCCTTCCCAGCTGATGCCCCGTTTCCCATCCACCTCATCATTCTGGCTTCTGCTTTTCCTGTCACATCTCAGATGTGACTCTGCCCCTTCCTGTTACCCAACCAGGACCGTGGGGTAACTTGGGACCAGCCCCTTCTCAGGTCCGGAGCTCCTTCCCATCTGCATCCCTTTTGCCATGGAAGGGATCGGGTTCTGGGAGGAGGATGTGGGTGCCTCTGGGCAGCCCTTGTTCTGCCTGCCACTCAGGGTACTTTGTCACACGCTGGCACAGCAATGGGGAACAACGGTCCTGAAGCACTACCCATTCGAATCCTGGCTCTATCACTTGTTAGCACATTCGGCACATAACTGAGTCTTAGCAGCCTCACCTGGAAAGGTGGAATAAAAAAAATCTTCTTTGTAGGGCTGTTGTGAGGATCAAATACCACAATGTATTCAGTAAGCTCAACTTGAGAGCTCAGTAAATGGTAACTGTTATCTTCTCCCACTGCCTATGACAATGCATAATAGAAACTCCACCACTTGAGATTCATTTCTCTGGATCTTTTCCCAATGATACATCTCAGGCCCTTGTCAGCTGACACTTAAGTGGGATCAGTTGGCGGTAACTTAAGTCAGGCTCCTCGACAGGACGGGGAGAACTTGGGACAATTCAGAGATAATAGAAAAGAGAGGGACCTACAGGGTGGGGGGAACAATAGGAGGCATGCACTTCTTTGGCTAGCTTCTCCAGCTTGCCGGAGTTCAGCTTGGGCTATGAACTCCTCCTGTCTCTCCCAGATTTGCCAGGGTGAGCCTGCTTAAAAGGAGCTCTGGGAGATGGTTTCTGAGATAGCTGGGGCCTGCCCACTTGGGCCTGCAGCAGCGAGGGGCAGGGCGGGGCTGGAGCCTGGCATGGAAAATTACCACTGCTCTTGGCTTCCAGGGTCAGGCTGCAGCAGCTGCTGAAAGGATGCCCTCCAGTCTGGGCCTTTCCTAAGTGGGTCTCCCGGAGTGAAAGGAAACCAGATTTTTGGTCTTATCTGAGAGCTGCGTGACTGCCTCCCATCCCTACTTTGGAACCTAGGAAAGTCCCCAAATTCATTGCCTGAACTTTGGGTATACACAGCTGCGCAACGGGAGCATATCATTACAGGCACCTGCCAGCACAAAGGGCTCCCTTCATTCTCGAAAATAACCCATTATTGTTTGGGGATTTTGTTCATTCAACAAATATTAAGCACTTGCAGGGTTGGGGAACTGTCTACCCTGGAAGGTAGTAAGCATGTTCCCAGGAGGAATCATTTTATGGCAGATGGAACACATGCTCTGGAGTGGACCAGCTTGGGTCTGAATCCAAACACTTCCAGGTGTGTGACACTGGAATAAAGTCACCACCATAAGCCTCTGCTTTCCTTTCTGGAACGTGGGCATAACTAATAACTGCCTCTGGGGTTGTTATGAGGATTAAATGAGGTGCCTCAGGGGAAGTAGGTGGCCGCACAGGCTTGGTTCATAGTGAGGAGGTCAGAAATAGAAATTACTGTTGTCATAGTCACGGAGACTGTTTCCCCCAACGCCTTTTCCACCTTCAAATCATAAAACAAGCCTGTTTGGGGGCCAATGAAGTCCTGTTGAACTTTTTTTTTTTTTGGTACTGGGGATCAAACTCGGGTCTTTGCACTTGCGAGGCAGGCGGCAGAACCACTGAGCTAAATCCCAAGCCCTCCTGTTGAACTTCTACTCTTCAAGTTAAAGAAGCAACAATGGAAAACTACCCACGTGTTACAACTCCAGGTGGACATACGTGGATGCCATGGATGCCTCCATGGATGCGTGTACACCTTGAGTACCCATGAATTGGTAATGAACTTGACTGCAAGTGATCGAACTTGATCACAACCAGGCTGAGTAGTTCTTCCTTGAGACAGTGGATTCCCAGCAGGAGGCGCCTTTGTCCTTAGCTGGCTTCTCCGACCGCGGCCCATTGGCTTCTCAGGGTTTGAGCTTCAAAGAGTTGTTGCTCACCCAAAAAGGGACACCCCCCGCCCTGCCCGACCTCTCTTGGAATTCAAAACAAACTAAGGTTGGGAGCCGGGTGGGCTAGCTCTGTCCTCGGCGTTTAGGATGGACGTTTTTAGTGGTGTGGCTGAGACCAGCCCTCTAGTTCTGGAGCCCCGTCGCGCGGTCCCAGGGCCAGGCAGGGGCGGAGGCGCAGGTGAGAGGCGTCCGCGCGAGGTCTGGGTTCACGCTCCCGGGAGCCAGGGCGCCTGGGTTCCGCGCGCGGTCCGGAGGGCGCCCAGGTGACCCGGGAAGGGGTGGGGAGCCCTGCCGAGGGCGTGAGCTGACTCTCTTTGTAACAACTCGCTTCCTCCTTTGCTCCTGCCCTTCCTCCACCCATCCCTCACCTGGAAAGGCACTAGCCTAGGCGGAGCGGGCGGGCCCCAGAACTCAGAACCCAGCCCAAGGGGTGAGAGGAAGGCAGCGCCTCCCCAGGAAAAAGAAGAGGAGAGTTTTCAGCCAAGTAAAGACAGTGACCCGGGCGTCTGCACCTGCGCTCGGCCTTCCACGGGGCAAAGGGGGCGCCAGCTCTACTTAAACCCGTAAATGCCAAATGCCGGGACTCCTGGCCTGAGGGACCCGGTCCCATCCCTATCCCCCATAATCGCGAAGTCCCGGGTTGCAGCACACGACCTGCCTGCAGATGTGAGGAAGCACCGCCCGCGCTCCGCGGCCAGTGTCCCCCGCCGGGGGTGGCTCGAGGGCACCGGGAGGGTCCTGGGCTTGGGGGCGGCGCCTCTCCGGGCTGGAGTCCGCCCCGGGCCAGCACCGCCCTCCGCCCCTCCCCCTGCGCCCGAGCTCCGAGGCCGCGCTTCCTGCGTCCGCGTCCCGGTCTCCGCGCGGATCGCGCGCCCTCTCCGCGCCGCGCTCCCTCGACCGAGGCTCCCCAGAGCCCCCAGCCCGCGATCGTGGCGTCCCCGAAGAAGCAGCTCAGGGTAGGGGTGTCGCGCCGCCCCTAACCCCGGGCCGCCGGGCAGAAACCCAGCCGGACCCGCCGCCGCCCGGGTGAGTCCGCGCCACCGAGCCAGACGGAGCGCTTGTGGGCCGCGGGGCCAGAGGGGGGGCGGGGGCTGCCGGGTCGTCCGTCGCCGAGTGCACCGCCACGGGGCTACCACCGGGGGCTCGGGGGTCCTGCACCCACTTTCAGCGTGCTCGAACCCCGGGCCTCAGTGGAGGCACCTGCCGCCAGTGCTGTGGAACAGAACCTGGGTCGTGGGAAGCACCAGCGCTCCGTCCGCTTGAGCCCTCCTGGCCAGTTTCTTACTCCTTTCTGTCTTTTTTCGTATTTAGATTCTTGCGCGCGTGAGTTTCACTTCCTAGAAACAGAGGTGTGAGAAATCGGGCGTGAGCACAGTGAGATGAAACTCGAGCCTGTCCCAGCCTTGGTTTCTTCGTCTGTAAAATGGGGTGATAGTGACCTAGCGGGCCTAGTGCACAGGTCACAGGGTCCGGGACCGCAGAATCCCAATTGGGTCGCAACTCTGCGCCTAGATGCGAGGCGCGTGGCCTGACGCCCAAGTCTGATGAACAGCGTGGTCACTTTCAGAAAGAAATCTCAACCCCATGGGGACTGGGGGCAGGGGACCCGGCCGCCCCCGGAGCTGCGTGGGCGCCTTGGCAGTGTGAGTGGTGACTGGTCGTGCGGTGGCCCAAGGCCAGGTCCTTCCTGGCAGTGCGGTGATCAAGGTGCTGGAAACCCCGGCTCCGGTGGAGCAGGGTGGGCGGGGCCGATGTGGGCTCAGAGAGGTGGTGGGTGTGGTCAGCGTCACGCTGCAGGTGGGGGCAACGCCCTTTGGGGCTGCCTTTGGCTTTTGTTGGAGCTGGTAACTTGGAGGACAGCTTCTCCTGTCCAAGTGCTACTGACCCAGGAACGGCTTCCACACTTAGCCTTGTCACACAAGAGTCCCGACCTGAGTGGACAGGGCCAGCAGGAACCTTCTCCAAATATCTCCCTCCCCTACTTGCAGATGCCACAGCCCAAACCAGGGCATGGAGATATGAAAGGAGGGGTGGTGTGCCAGGCAGTGAGGTGCCAGGGCCCTGGATAGCAGGTTCGTCGGTGGGTGGGATAAGTAAAGGGAGTGGGGGTCGGGAGGGGAACAGCAGGGGCCATCCTGAGACCACCCAACAGATGTTCCCTAGGCACTTTCTGTGGGTCAGGCTGCCTTGGGCAAACAGTAGAGCAGACAGGAGGGATATGGTCCTACTGAGGTTCTGTGAGCAGGAGCCATTTGATCCCATCATGAGGTTAAGGCAGTTCTGGCTGAGGGCAGGGGTGTAGCTTGGTGCTAGAGCATTTGCCTGGCATGTGCATGGTCCTGGGTCCCCTCCCAGTACCAAAAGAATAATTGCTAGAAGATGATTCTACCTTTTCAGAGGGATATTGAGAAAGACTGATGGAGAGAGAAGGCTGCAGGGTGTTGGCAGGCAGTGGGAGCTGCATGGCAGGCCAAGACGGCAAGGGTTAGCATGTGGCCTTCCCATATGACCACTGGTCAGGGGTGAGATTCGTGGACTCCGTGTGGGGCCCACAGCACCAGCCCTCTCTAATGGGCAAGCCAGTGAGCACCTGGGATATCAGCAGGACCCCAGCCCCTCCAGCTGCAGCCCTGTGACTCTCAGTCCCAGATGTCACAGGTCCAGGGGATTCTCTGTCTACATGAGGGACGGCAAAGCTGGAGGTAGCCTGGCTTCTGCTGGCATTTGTCCTGGGCAGTGGCCTCATCAGGGCTCCCATTTTACTGGGTCACAATGCTGTGGATGTTCCTTCTTCCACTGCAGGGAAGTGTGAAGGCTATGAGCAGAACTCTTGGGCAGGAGGAGGCTAGAACTGGAGGAGCTTTGGCGCTTGCCTTCTTTGCCCCACTTCCTAATTAACGCAGGACCTGAGGGGGAAAAAGGCTCCAGCAGCCCAGATGCCTGTGACCTGTGTGTGGAGGGTCTGCTGCTGGTGCCCAGTTTTCTTTTGCTTTGATTGTCATTGCCTGGGAGCTCAGGAGACTGTCTTGCCATCAGCAGTCACAGGAGCACCCTTTCCATGTTGCATCTCCCTTTGCTTGGGAATGACAGGAGGACCCTAGAATGCCTCCAGGGAGGGTACCTTTGGGTCATCAAACTCACCATTGTCCTTTGACCAGTCTAACTTCAGAGAGGGAAGAGACTTACCCAGTGACACACAGCAGAACAGAGGCAGAAGTGGGACTCCTGACTCCTGTCTGAGGTCTTTTGAATAATCCCAAGAAGCCTGGCCACATTCAGATCAAAGACTTGTTTTAGGACCCAGTCTTGATAGTTTCAGACTATCCCAGTCCTTCCGGAAGCTTCAGAGCCTTCTGCTCCTCCCAAGTAGTGACAGGTGGCGAAGCCTAACCTGGCAGGCTCTTTTCTCCCATCCCCTGGATGGAGGAGCCCTCGGTGCCACGGCTGCCCCTCCTCCTCCAACCTCTTGCTCCCCAGAGAGAGAGGCGTCTTTTTTTATTTTCTGGGCTCAGGCAGGGCTACCCTGCTCTCCCAGACAGCCTCAGATCTGGCTCAGAGCTTCTCCCGGGTCTCAGGATCTCCTAACCTCTGCCTTTCTCCAGTCCTCTGCCCATTCTTGACTTCTCTCTCTCCTGGCTCTGCCCACATCTCAGGACCTCTGGGTTGACCTTCAACTTCCATCCGGTGTTGTTTACTTGGGCTGAACAGCCAAACACTCCTTGTTCTCCCTTGCCCTAGATTTGTCAGACATAGCAGCTTTCAGACCTGAATGCCGGTTGCTGTAGATCCTAGACTATTTGAGCCAGCAGAGACCTTAACATCAGAACATCCAGTCTGCTCACTTTACAAATGGAGAAACTGAGGCCTAGGGAAGGGAAAGGACTTGCCTGAGATCAGAGCCAGGGTCAATTGCTAAGATTCCCAGTTCTGTATTGGATGATTTTGAGGGTGATTCTTGGGGAAGAAAAAAAAAAACCAAACCAAAGCAGAGCACTCTGCTGCTCCACGAGCCCCTTTCTCTCTCCAGTCTACACCCCAAGGTATTTTCAGGGCATCCATCGTGGCATTGTCTAGAAGGAATAAAGGCAGGGACCCTGTGAGACATGGGGTGTACATCAAGGGGACATTTTTAGGTCCTGTCTGCGAGCATGGGTACTGACCTGGCTCTCTCGCGTGCCCCTGCACGGACCTGCTGTGAAAGTTTTCCTAACAGAAGTACAAGTTCCTTGTGGAGACCCGGAAGGAAAGTGTCACATAAGCCAACAGCTGCAGCTAACATTCTGGCCTCTTATTCAGGGTGTTTGGTTGTTTGCTCTGCTGTTCTGTATCCTGGTTTTTCAGTTCCCCATCCCAAGGCAGACTATCCCATGGGATACGCCAGCCTCACCTACCTCTTTCACCGGGTGCTAGCAGGGTCTCAGGGGGAGCTTTTAGGGCCTAAAGCTAAGCAGCTAGGACAGTGCCTCAGCCAGCATCCTGTAAGGCTCTGCCAAATGCATTAGAAACTTATTATTCACCACCATGGGATGTGATGGAGCCATCTTTGTGCATCACTATGAGTACTAGGGAAAGGGCTATATTTACAAAATCTAAAGCACAAACCAGTTCTCACTGGGGTTCTTAAAAAATGAAAGAAGCTGGCCATCTGGATGGGATGGATGTGAACCAAAGATCACACAGAGGGAGGGAGGAAACCTGCTTTCATCTGATTTTTTTCCTGTATTTTAATTGAGCCAGTGTTCCTGCCTCATAATCACTAGCCTTTGTCCCACACCTCCCCAGGACAGGCATCAGGATAGCAAGCCCCAGGAACACAGGTATTGGCATGTTCACCTACACCCCAGCTCTGGGGAAGCAGGTATTTCAGAGGCAAAGATGTATGGAGAATTGGTTTCCTAGGCAGGTGATGTGGGGAGGTCACCCCACCTTGGGGACAGGATCTCCTAGGCTGAGAGCTTGTCCCCTAACAGGGTCGCAGCTTTGCTCATGCCAGGCATCGTGAGCACTGCTAGGAGTTCTACAGGTGGTCTTGGACATTTTCTTGGCTAATGTTTGCAGACCATGGGAAGCAATTTATGTGTGAGGTTTACAGTCAGTTAAATGGTTTTCCAACTGTCTTTTAAAAAAGTGAAATGGAGGAAAGTAGACTAGAAAATAATGTACATTTCCTATCATCAGATGTATTCTTAGGAGATCTTGTGGTTGTCTTCATGTGAGTATGTATGGAGTCACCTGTAACATTTCTCACTGGGTGGTAAGAGCCTGCTCCACTCCACTGGGTTTTATGCAGTGATCCTGGGAACTTGGATTCCTTGGATGGGTCCCAGGAGCAGCTCTGGGTGAGATTTGCAGGGCTAGAGCTGAGGGGTAGGCAGCTGGACTGGGAGGAAGAAAGCTGTGCTTGCCAATGTTACAGCTGTTAGAGTACCCTAACATTCCTTCTTAAAAAATCTGAGACTTTAGAAGTAAAACAAATCAGGAAGTCTTTTCCACTGTTAGTCTAGCACCTCAATTCTTAGAAAAAGAAATGGAGGCCAGAAAACAGAGGCTGGGGTCTTGGCCTGGGGCATGTGGGCATTCAGGCTTCCTATGAAAGAGGAACTATAAAGGTAGACCTTTGACACCTCTCCGAAAAAGGAGATAAAGCCTGGTTTAGTGTGCTCAGCCTGAGAAACACACAATCACCATGAGGCCTGTGTCCCCTGGGGGCCCTGCTGTGTGCCTAGGAATTAATGTTGATCCCAAAGCCTGTAAGTATCAAGTCCCCCGTTTATATCACTTTGGTGCACAAAACATTACTTTGTTCAACACTAGTATTTAAAACTTGACACAGCTTTGGTCACCTTGCTTCAGCATGATTTCTTCTCGATCTTTTCTTCTAGGGTCCCCAGAGCTTTACCAACAGAAGCTGCCCTGGCCCATCTCCTGCCCTGAGATGACAGGCCCAGGGTCACCACCCCCAAATCCTGGCAGAATCAGGACACAAATTGACCACGGTGGGCAAGTTTCTTGAGAGTGTCACGTGA